TGTTCATTGCCTAAACAACATTTCAGAAAGTTTTAATTCTACAAATTATTTTGCTTGGAATTTTTAACTTATTGGTTTTGTAAAGGCAAAAGAAATTAAATTACGGATAACTTTTTCGTGAAATCTGGACAAGCAGTTTTGCCTAGATGGATTTCAAATAATAGCGAACGGTGTAAGCAAGCTTCCATCATTTTCTCTTCAGTTAACTAACTTTACCTGTTACTCATTAAGAAAAAACGCACTTTGCCCGCAGATGCGTGATTTTATCCTAAGAACTAGGGTACTGGCCTTTCCGTAAAATAAATTGAAGTTGAGCCGAGATTTTCATGTTTACATGAATTCTGACGCGGTAATTTGATTTTGACAATATTTTTATGTGAGAACCCGTCAAACTTTTAAGAAATTACGGACCGCTTAAGTGTGATGCACACAAACTTTCAGGTTTCATGAATTTGGTTCTATTGCGAAAAGAGTGAACTGCAGTTTTTTGACATGGTAATTTTTCATCAATTTGTTTTAATGCTGTCTACTCGACTTGCTCAAAATACAGGATACGCTTTGTCTTACCAAACATCGGACCACTTCCTCAATAAAACAAAGCAGAAGCATATTATCGATATGTTTATGCTTCTGAATACAGCTGCGATAGGAATGGTATATGCAATTGTTTCCCCATGTAAACTGGGTCCAATAGACGGCCGTATAAAAAATTTTAACTTTTCCTCTTGGGACCTCCCGACTGGTGAAAAACATATATTTACTATCCATCTGCGCTTAGTAGAGTACAAATAATGCACAAATTGAGTAAAAAAATCTTGCCATAGTTAGACAGCTTTTTGTTTTGAAACCTGTTCAACTGGTCGGCTATGTGTCCTATGCTTCTCCATCTGCTAAGCTTTTCCCGCCTGATAAGAAATGCGCATAAAATGAAACATTTACATAATAAATAACTGACTAGACGTTTTGGTGTGTAGTATCGATGAGTATTTTTACTTGACCTGCCCTTCACGCTTGTCAAAGCATGGCACAACGCGTAAAACTCCACACCAAAACGTCTAACTATATAATTATATATATGTATATATACATACATATATACATATATATATATATATAGTATATATATAGTTGCGTCCTTTTTTCCTCTCATAATATTTATTCTGCTCTGCTTCAACGTATTGAGCACTGTTCCACGCGAAAATCGACTCGCAGACTTCCTATATATATATATATTTGATTGGATTTGCAAGATTGACAGTCGGTTCATCCCCTGCCAGAGCTCAGCTAGTGGATGAACACCCCGTGTGTGGAGGGTGGTTGAAAGACCAAATCAGCAGGCTTAAGAAGAGCTGCAAAAAACCTGATGACTAGGTTTTCAATGTGTACCTTCAAGCCAGCCTTGCTGAAGAAAATGCGGGGGGCTTAACCCCAGCATGCTGCTCAGCCACCACCTTATTCTAGAATGAGATGCAAATGTCTTTTTATGGAAAGCTCGGAGGGGGATTTCCTTTCTGAGTTGAGTTCTAATTAGGCTAAATTAGTTTCGTCTTTGTCCATTACTTTAGAGTCAGAGGCCATGCTTTGAAGCATCCTTCCTAGAAGGCCAGATCGTTTTGGCTGAGGGTGGGTTGAGGCTGGGGAAATTTTCAATTTGAAAGGGTTTTTTCTTGGATATTGACTTTGAGTTTGTTATCTTTTTGGGTATGTTTTGGTAAATTTATACATGTATATATAAATACACCCGTTTCCTGAAATGCTGTAGTTTGAAAGTATACACAATTTTTCTTTCTTATCAAAATTACATCAATTTAAGGAGAAAAAAATTTGGGACTTTGATAACTAGATTCAGGGTGACCATTTGATATGGTGCTGCTAACTATCGGTTGGAATATATCATGGATTCAGCAGCAGAGGCAGATTTTTATAAAATACTGAGAAAAGACTTACATTGCACGGTGACATAAGCTCTTACTGTCTTTTCCTGTCTCACACCATTGCTTGCGATGCACACATATTCTCCAGCATCGTTCGTGCTACTACTGGAGATGTTCAGCTGTTTGGTGCCACACAAATGAATCCCAGATTTTTCCCACCTTATCTTAGGTTTAGGAAAACCCGTCGCATCACAATTCAAAAACAGAGGGGTTGACGTATTAACTGTTATATTCTGTGGCACTTCTGTAAACTGTACAGGAACTAGGCAAGAAGAGAGGAACAACAAAATTTTCACTCCACAGCATTAAAGTACGATTTGGTTCAAAACCATCCACTTCATACGCTATAGAAATAGGATTATAAAATATAGCACATGCATAAGAACAATATCCAAAAAAGGAAACAAACTATCATTATATCAGCTAATCAGAATTTGCATCAGTTTTGAAATACTCTAATGAAACCCATAAGTCTACAGTTTTTAGCAGACACAAGATAATTACTTTGGAATAATGTTCTGGGTTTTTTTTTCTTTTTTCGCCAAAATATGCAATCAGACCAAGGGATAATCTCAAACTTGAAGCTAAATTGCTACGCAAATAAATGTACAACCTTATTAAGGCTCCTAGAAAGCTACACAAACTTACAGATTTCTTATGCCTGAAAACAATCTAGGGTAACTATGGGATGCCATCTCAACCAAATCATTGCTTTGTTTCTATTATACCCATGTGAATCATTGTAATTCATAATTAGGTATTGGTTTTTATCATTAGGCACCTGTTCATCATTGTTAGGCACAAGTTCGTGATTATTAGGCACCTGTCCAACGTTATTAAGCACAAGTCCATCATTATTAAGCACCAGTTCATTATCATCAGGCACAACTTTTGCTATTAGGTACCCATCTATTATTAAGCATTGGTTAAATTTTTCAAGATTGGCATCCTTCACCAGCATTTTTCCAAGTACCTTGGAAAGAGCATTATGTAGCAAGCTGAGTAATGCTTGCGAGGAAAATGCCTCTTCAGCTGGAGAGCAACACAAAGATGTCTGTAAAGCCAAACAACATCTGTCATAGTACTCAAAAATTCTCAACGCTGTTTCTACCCACCA